TTGAATATATTTTAATTTTTATTATTTTTAATAATGTATTTTGTTGATTATACCATTACAGTTTTCCCCTTTCTCCCCCTTCATTCTCCTCCACCCTGCACACCCTCTCCCACCCACATTCCCTCCACTTTAGTTCATGTCCATGTGTCATAAGTTCTTTAGCTTCTACATTTCCAGCACTACTCTTGCCCTCCCCCTGTCTATTTTCTCCCCACGGTCTTTGCTACTTATTCTCTGTACCTTCTCCCCCTGCTCTCCACCTTCCACTCCCCTGTTGCTAACTTTCCATGTGATCTCCATTTCTGTGGCTCTGCTCCTGTTTTAGCTGGCCGCTTAGTTTGCTTTTGTTTTAGGTGTGGTTGTTAATAACTGTGAGTTTGCTGTTCTTTCACTGTTCATATTTTTTATCTTCTTTTTCTTAGATAAGTCCCTTTAACATTTCATATAATAAGGACTTGGTGATGATGAACTCCTTGAACTTGACCTTATCTGAGAATTGCTTGATATGCCCTTCCATTCCAAATGAAAACTTTGCTGGATAGAGCAATCTTGGTTGTAGGTCCTTGCCTTTCATGACTTGGAATACTTCTTTTGAGCCCCTTCTTGCCTGTAAGGTCTCTTTTGAGAAATCCGCTGACAGTCTGATGGGAACTCCTTTGTAGGTGACTGTCCCCTTATCTCTTGCTGCTTCTAGAATTCTCTCCTTCAGTTTAATGTTGGCTAATGTAATTATGATATGCCTTGATGTGTTCCTCTTTGGGTTCACCTTCTTTGGGAGTTTCTGGGACTTCCTGGATTTCCTGGAAGTCTATTTCCTTTGGCAGATTGAGGAAGTTCTCCTTTATTATTTCTTCAAATAACTTTTCCACTTGTTGCTCTTCCTCTTCTCCTTCTGGTACCCCTATAATTCAAATGATGGAATGTTTAAAAATGTCCTAGAGGTTCCTAAGCCTCTACTCATTTTTTGAGATTCTTGTTTGTTCATTCTTTTCTGTTTGATTATTTCTTTCTTCCTTCTGGTCCACTCCATTGATTTGAGTCCCAGTTTCCTTTCCATCACTATTGGTTCCCTGTGCATTTTCCTTCATTTCACTTAGTGAATGATTTCCTTCATTTTTTCATCTAATTTGTGACCAAAATCAACCAGTTCTGTGAGCATCCTGATCACCAGTGTTTTGAACTGTGCATTTGATAGGTTGGCTATCTGTTGGTCACTTAAAAGTATTGGCTCTGGGGCTTCGATTTGTTCTTCTGTTTGAGGCATAATTTTTTGATTAGGTCATGCCTGTTATGTATGAGTGGTCGAGCCTTAGGTGTTCACCAGGGCAGGGCATCCCAATCACTGGGTTGTGATTCTGTGTGTGGGGACAGGGTCAGAGAGTGAACAAGGGTGCTTGCCCCACTCTCTCTTGGATTTCAGTCCCCTCTGCCACTTCTCACAAGCAAATTGGGCCCTTCTGATGCTAGTTCCCAGGTGGGTGGGCTTGTGTACATTTTAGGACACTGTGGGTCTCTCCAACAAATTTTCCTGTAAGGCTAGGAGTCTCTCTTGGCACCTTTTCAACTGGTGCTTTTAGGCTTTATTTCCTGGAGCTGGAACCCTGGGTTGCACAGTCTGTCTCGCTGCCCAGTTTTGCCTGGTTTATCTGCACATGAATGTGTCAAGGTCAGTCCCATGCCACCTGCACTCCCAGGTCTGGCTGCCACCGCCTTTTCCTGCCGCTACCCCTCTCCACTGGCCACCGACTTCACCCCTCTTACTGGTCTGGTTGTAAGATTTCTGTACAGTTCAATTTTCTGTCTGTTCTAGTTGTGTTTTTATTTCTAAATCTTTGTTGTCCTTAATTTGGTTTGTGCAAGGAGGCACAGTGTTTCCACCTACACCTCCATCTTGGCCAGAACTCTGAATTTATTTTAAGGTCAGCAATGAAGGTACATTAACTGTATTCTCTATGCCATGTGACAAGCAGATGATAGGATTGTGTGTGTTTTAGGGGAGGAATGAAGTATGTAGAGTCCATCTGAGCAGGTGGCCCTGATGGTGATGATTCTAAATGCTGTGAAGGATGCTCATACCCTGGGCTGCTGACTAACTCAAGTTTAGAAATGTCTCTCTGTGTGTCAGGTTGCAAGCTCACCACTGGATGTCACCCTGGTCCTACCAAAGTTTCTCAGTACAACTGACTTTCACATCACAGTTTCAGGGCCCCTGGAAGCTGATATAGAGAAAAAACGTGAGAGCAGATTAACCTCTACTTGTCCTATGAAGGTTATGGTAGGGGATCATGCATGCTCATGGATTTCTGGGAAGATGAAATGAAAAACACTTTGTGCAATGGTCCCCATAAGTGCCCTTGAATGCCCTTTGAGTGTTGTCATGCACCCTCAGTACTTACAGCCAACTCAAATCCACTTCGCCTATATGCAGAGCAGGCCAGAATTGCTTGGAGATGATATTCCCCCATGACAGCCCTTAATCAATACCCAACAGGCCAGAAGAAGCTCAGCTTTTTTGACTCAGACCAGGAAGTCTCTGAGGTGTAACTTACTGCAACCCTGAGACGCCGGTGGGATCAGGCAGAAACCAGCACTGCAGTTTCCACCCGTATTGACCTGTTCTGCTGCTCCTTTCACCCTCCCTGTTTTCCCTGGGAATCATTCTATAAATCTCTGCACCCTAAATCCTCATCTCAAGATATGCTTCTGGGGAACCTCATCTAAGACACTGGTTTACAGATCATGCTCAGAAATCATTTGTTCCTTTCCCCCATGATCATCTACCTGTCTGATTCAATGATCAGTGGGATCTGGGCATACAAGTTACCTAGCGTGGCCCAAGAGCCCCTGCCTTTTCCGGCAGGCAGACCAGCATTGCAGATCTGTACTGCTGACCCATTCTCTCTACTGACTCTGTGGGGTGGCTGAGGCTGATTCCCAGGAACCAATGTGTCTGCCTGTGGTTCTTGGGAGTCAAATCTCAAGCTATGACTGCAACTCCCTTGGTGGTGGCATTAAAAGTAGTACTGTAATGTGAGACTCAAAAAATCTAGAAGCTGATAAAAAAGGCACTTAAATCATTTTAGGGTCATAAGGGACAGAGGAGAGGAGAAGGAGCAGGAAGAAAAGCTTTGAAGTTTTGTTTTTTTCCCAGCTTGACATAGGATTGCTTAAACAAATTAACATTCCCATCACCACTGGTTCCTGTATCCAGAATAAATTCACATGTTGAAGCAAATAGAAAAAGGGAAGAGGGAGGATAACAAGAGATGAGCTGTGGGAAAGGAGGGTAAGTATTAGTAGCACCATGTCATTTTTTATCTCCCAAACACACTGGCTTTATAGCATAGTGTTTGCTTGAAAAAATGATTAAAACAATTGCTCACGTGTGACAGAAAAGCCATTTCCACTTAGAAAAATATTTAAATCATGGGTTGGGGAGCATTCTTTGTCTCTGTTAATCATGGGCTAGAGGGTAGTTATATAAAACATGTGGATCAATATGACATTTGCTGATTGAATTACTGATATACCCTGGTACTTGTAGGGGACACAAGTCACAAAAGACATTAAGTTACGAAAATTGCATTTCAAGGGTTGAATGTGGAATAGTATTAGCTTGTGTAATTTCTTTCTCTCTTCTCTTTTTTCTTTTACCATTTCAGATGGATGCAAGCTGATGGTTGAAGAAATGAGATTTTCTTCCCAGAGCTAGCTCCTATTTCTTCTCTCCACTCAGAGCTGAAATGCCTACTCCCTCCAGAGATTTGCTTAAATATTACACAAATGAGCTTAATATTTTCCTGTGCTGAGTCAGATCCTTGAGAACACAAATGTCCTCTCAACCCAAAACAGGAGAAGCAATAACTGGCCACATTTACCTCGGGTCAGGGTTGGGTGATGCTAAAAGCACTGACACCTTCAACTTCTCTTTCTCCTCAGCATATGAAATATGCTAGGGTTTTATAAAGATTTACTGCACAAAAACTGCTGCTGAACTCAGTCACACTGAGGTCTGGTGGTCTTGTAGCCAAGTTATTTTCCTCCTTTAACTGCCATCTATCTATCTGGAGTGGCCTGCCTCTTTCTTCCCGCTCTCCTTGCCCTCAGGGGACAGGGGACAGTTTCAGGTTAACACAGGGAACTCCTGCGGTTGTGAACCAACAATGGTAGTGGTTCCCAGCCTCTTGGAGTTGTTGACATGTCCTTGGTCCTAGTGGGAAGGAAGGAAGGAAAATTCTCCAAGTGGGAATGGGTCTCAGAGGCCTCATTGCCCCCCAAACCCTCACGCACCACCCTCCACCCTCCATTTCTCTAGTTAGAGATCTGTCCTGATGGGTAGGAGCAGACTGGGACAAGGGAGAACCTGCCGTTGGAGGCCTGTGCTTAGGGAGTGAGGCTGGATGCACAAAGCCAAATAGATGGGAACCTCTGGGCAGACTGAGAGCACAGTGGGGTTCTTGGGTATCTCAAGGGGTGATGGGGAATCTGAAATGGGGGAGCTAGCAGTGAGAGACAGAAACAGAGGCAGAATAAACACCTCTTACCTTAAAAGTGTATGGCAAGCCCTACATACTGCCTCAGACTTTTAATGGAATAAAGTGAGATAGAAACAAACCAGTGACTTTGGAGAGGGCTGGCAGTTTAAGGCTTTTCTTTCTTGTATCATTTACGTGACTGAACTTAAGAATCTGGCAACAACATATTCACCCACAGTCACAATATACATAGATAAAAATGACCTGGGGCCCGAGTCTCTAACTTGCTTTAAATTGGCCTCCTCTTCAGGCTTGCAGGATGACCAGACCACAGAAAATTGAGGAACATACCCAATTCTAAGCACCCCCTCCCAAGGTAAAATAGTTTTAAAAAAATGAACTCAGGAATTGTTAATTTTTTTGAGTCTAGTACAGGCATTTTAATAACTTGTAAACAAACAAACAAAACTCAGTACTACATCAAAAGAATTACATTAGTAATACAAAATCAAAGTAGACTTCCAGTTAAATATAGAAAAACCTAGGGTCCATTGGAACCACCAGATCTACATCCCTCACCAGATTTTCTTGACACATCATCCTTGACTGGGGGAATTTGCACAGGAAGAAAAAATTCAAAGTTGAAATGGAAGTAGAGAAAATAACCCACCGACTTTTTTGTCTTTTCACTTGAAGTGATAGCACATGTTAGTGGAAACTATTTCATTTAAAATATTTAATAAACTGTCCCATCTCCACTATATATACACATACTTATTTAAAATTTGGAGAGAGGTAAATTGATCATTTAAAGGGTAAAATTATTTAGTTGAAATAATTTCTGAGACTTAAAAAAAAGACATTTAAAAGCATAGTTCAAACATCTGTGTTTCCAGATAGTATTGCCCCACCAACAGCTTCATATCCCAAAGTCATCAAATATTAAAAGTAACAACAATTCTAGAATTCTCTTTGATGATACAGTCCCTTCAGGTACATGACGACACTCCAGTTTTCCAGAGGGACAAATAAGTAGAAAACATCATATCCAAAGGGAAGAACTGTATTATCTACCAAGTTTATACAGAAAGCCAAAGAGCTGGGAGAAATTACTATTTAGAAATAACTACAAATAAACCATCTCCCATATGAATCCCCCTATAAGAGAAGGCTGAAAAATAATTCTCCACTTTCTATCACCCTTTTGAGCCATATGATCACTGACGACCAGGCCAGCAGAAAAGGAGACTGAGTTGAAGCCCTTTCTTCCTTCTCTGTCACCTCCCGCCCCAAACCCAGCCCTCTTATAAGGTAATAAACCCTGGAGACAAAAGTCAGAAATAACGGACACATATTGCGGGCCCAGGGGGCGCATTTCTGCTTTGTTCTTGATCTCGGTATTTTCTTTCTATCTGCAGATTTGTCTTGTTTCTTACTCGCAGAAAAAGTCAATATCCTGGGAGAGAAAAAAAGGAAAAAGAGATTGAACTGAACAGGCAGGGTCAGAAAACAGATGTAGGTTCTTTATTTAAAATCATATGTAATCAAAGGTTACTTTGGATTTAAAATAAGTAAAACCCAACAATTACGACATAATTATCACTTTAAATAAAATTATTTAAAATGAAGGTTCTCAAATACAATTTTAATGTATGGTTATTTGACACATTCAAGCTCAATGCTAAGAAGTGATGACAAGTGAGTCCCATTTGTGGAGGTTGGGCAAATTGGCTCCAGGAAAACAGCTTCAAAATAACCACCTTACACAGTAGCTCAAAGGGGATCTTTTATTTCTGTCCTTGGTTTACATGACCCCAAGAGCATTGGAAAGAGTGCAATATTTTTCATACATAAATGGAGTCTTATCTACCACAAAAATACGGCATTCAGTGATTTTTCCGTATGCTTGGATTTTATTAAATACAAGTGGTATTTTTTCCCAGCCCAAGCCTTTAGCAAATACGTGTGTAACCATCAGTAAGAGTCCAATAATCCTGTTTTGCTTTCTTTCTTGGACATGAATAACTTTCATCTAAAACCAGAGAGAGTCAATGGAGAAAGTTCAGTTCTCTTTCAGCATTGATAGTAGTTATGAATGCTCTCCCAAACTTCACTGTCTCAGAAGCCACCACTGAAAATTAGAGGCTTTGTCTTATGTATCTTCTGTCTACTAAATTACATGATGCATTTTATAACCAGCCTACATTACCTCAAGAACTGAATATTTCTCTGGCCAACTCTGAGACACTTACCGTGGTTGGGACTTCCTTGGTGGCTTCCTGATACACATGCTGCTCCACAACCAGGTTTTTGGGGAAATAACCCACCGTTCCCATCTCGTCCTCCTGGCCATCGCCATATACCTGAGTACCGGGAAGTGCAACCGTCAAGGGAAGGCTGATGTGAGTCCTCTTTGAGAAATACCCAGGCACCCCCTTTGCTGTTAATAAGAATAACATAACTGCCAAAGTCTTGCTTTGTGCTCTGGATTTGGGAGGCTCACACTGAAGTTCGAAGTTCACTTAGAGCTTAGTCAACCCACAGAAACTCAGTATCCATTCTCCTGTCTTACTGGTCTCACTACTCCAGTGGTCCCTTATTTTATGCAATCTTGTGAGCAGCCGGAAATCTTTTTGGGACCGTAAGTAGATAGAGAGTAAACTTTTAAAAGTAAATTGGAACTTTGATTTTAAAGGACTCGTGTTTTTCAGTTTTCAAAAATTTAAATGAACAAATACTTGAGTGAATTTCAGATTTAGCTTTTCATTACTTGAGATTCTAACTGTGGCCCTTCAGAGAAGGATAGTAAGTGAGTCTCATTTCATTTCTCCCCAAGGCCTGTCCTGCACATTTTAACTTAAAACAAAACAAACAAAAACCCAGACTCTTTGGAATTAAAGAGGAGGGCTAAAGTTTCATTTAAAATATTGAAACACAGACTGACTGCCAACATACATGCCTTTACTTGGCAAATCCGCTCAAACAGTTTTGAATAACTTTCAAAGTCTTTGGGGATCTTCAAGCTCCCATGTATTTGACTAGTTTTATTTTTGCCAAAACATCACATAAATCTGTATTTGAGTTATGAGATTTTCATAATTTCTTCAAAATGCAATAAAAGCAAATATATATGCATTTTTGTACTTGAATCTGCAATCTTTACATTGTTCATAACAGCTAGTTTTAAACATTAAAATGCATTGAAGATAATAGGTAATAGGAAAAAATTATGAGCAACACATATCAAAATGTGTGTCTATTTTTAATAGTCTCATCTTACACTGCCAGCCCAAAATTCTCCAGCTTCCTTTTCTTTTACCAGCTTTGAGTAAACATAGATCTGTTGCCCTTTTTTAACATTAATGAATCTACAGTCTGGGGCATTATAATCTTCCTGAGCTCTGGCCAGAGAAATAGTATCTGAAAGAAAAAAAACATTGAATTATTGGTTAATATTATTGGTTAACATTGATTGCCTTATTTAGGGTCCTTGGATTTAAAAAAAAGTAGAAAGACAGAGCAGATCAGAAAACTAAAAAATCAGAGTGACTAATATCACCCCATTCACAGCTCCCATTCAGTTCAAACAGAGTAAGAAATCCTAAGCATTGAAATGCCATCCAACAGATTCTAAGCCAAGTGAATTTTCTTTGGTAGCATTCTAAACGTACAGACCAGAAGAAACAATGCAAACCACATACACATTAGAGAAGATTTGCTTCAAAGAACAATTAGATTTTATGCTGTTAGTGGATAGTTTTTCAATTATTTAGTATATAATAAAAGGCATTTAAAAAGTCCTTACAGACACACTCATCATCTGCACAGAGCTTCTTGGAAGCGAGTCTGTCCATAAATATTCCATGCACGGTGCCTATGACCACAAGACCTGGAAGGAAAAGTAACAATAGTCTTGCCATATTCTTTTCTGCTGTTTATACTATCGCCCTTTGAGTGGAAGTGGAAGCTGACTTCAATGGTTTCTGTCTTTTATGTGAAAGCCAGACATCTGGGTAAATCCCCCAGCCAATGGGAAGGTGCCTCTGCTTTCATAACAGCTACTGGGCTCCAGGGGCTATTTAGCATCTGATTTTCCAAAGACATTCAAATTCTATGTATTTTTTATGCACAAATGATTTCCAAATGGTCCACCATTGTTGAAGCCAGTTTAGCTGTGATTATTTGCATGAGCATAGCATTTTTGAAAGAACTATGAGAATTTTAACTCTTTTAAAAAAGTTTTAGTTCAACTCTCATATTCTTTCAACTTATGAACAAAAAATGTGCTAACTGTAGGAATCTGTGGAAATGTGCATTCTATATCTTCAGTATAAATTATCTTGATTTAAGCAAATCCATTTAAGTATCTGGATTTATATAATAGATAAACGAAAGGTGCTTAAGTTTACAAGTCATTCATGATAGGATTCTTGGAAATCACTTCTGTCTTGGAGCAGACAGGTTGTAACATTTGACTCATATTCAGATCCTACTAATAGGGAAGGGAGGGATAGGTGGCTGAGGGAAAAAATGAAACCATTTTTTCTCCACCTACTTTATCTGATACTTCTGAAATTCAGTCTCAAAATATTCAAGGATAATATATCTCAGAGAAGGGAATAAAGCTGGAGGTTTGTGTTACTAACTCTACCCCTTCCCTGCTCCCGGGCATCTTTCTCATGGAACGTGTGGCACTGCTAAGAGCCACCAAAGTAGAAGCACATTAGTGTTTCATTTTTCACTTGGCTCCACCTATTCGACAAATATTTACCGAGCACTTACTATGTGCCTACTGTTGTAGGCACTAGAGACATAGCAGTGAAAAAGGCCCTAGTCACACAAATTTACTTTCTATTAAGAGTGACATACAATGAGATGCTACTTTTAATCAGTATTTTGGGCTGGCATCTCTTTCATAAGGTGCCCCCATAGTCTTCTAGAATAGAAGTCCCTGTTGGATGCCCCATCCATTTGGAGGACAATGAGGTTTCAGAACAGTGCCTCTCCCTCCTGCCCCCTAAATGTAGTCACCTCACAAAATAAGGGCCAAGTATTCAATGTACAAAGTAACTTTGTATTGTACATAACAGTTTCCAAGGGAGACACTGGTAAAGCAAAATATACTTACAGTACAGTTTTAAAAGCTTATTGGGGTGTGTGTGTGTATAATAAAGTTTTACCCTTTGTTTGTGTATGGGCATGAGGGTGTTATTTTCAAGGGAGGATCTTTATACTGCTGGCCCTGGTTTGGAACCTTGTTTAATTTAACGTCTTCGTTATGGGTGAAGAAACCAAGGCTCAGCAAAGGCCAGAGCCACCTTTCTTAACCACCCAATCTAAAGGTTGCCCAGCAGGATTGCAGTTCAGTGCTGTTTCCATTCATCTGCTATTAAATTAGAATTAGGATTTTAAATCCTGCATTTTAAGCTTCACTTTAAGAAAAGAATGAATTAGAACTCAGAATGCCAATACATTTTCCTTCCTATAATCTAGGGATCTAAGAGGATCTCTGGAAAAAGTAAAGTATTAATTAAATCTTCTTAATCCTGATGGTGCAGCTGTTTTACAGACTGTTGTAGTCTCAAGCCAGCCCTCAACACAGGAGAGTTAAAAGACAATTGCCATTTAAGAGGCACTTTAAGAAAAGAGGACTGTGCAAAGTCAGATTGTCTCCTGATACTTTCCAAAGCAGGTGAAATGTTGAATAAAGCCTCTCTCAAACTCTCACAATTCAGCAAAGTAAGGCTGATGTGAACACAAAGCCATTATTGGCCATTTGGTGGTGAAGAGGTAAAGAAGAGAGATGTCAAGCTTTTTGAGTGCATCCTGGGCACATCTGCGATGTCCTAGCATTCTGTAATGGATAGAGTCGGGATGACAACTAGAAGACTGTTTGTAAAATTGTGCTCGCAGATAGGAACTTGAACTTGCGATCATTCAGCAAGCACTTGTGCCTGACAGCTATGCTCTAGACACTGCTGATCTGGGGGTCCAGAAAATGGCTCTGTTCTAAGCATGCTTACCTTCCTTCCTCTGAGTTTTCAGATGTGTTCTCTGAGCCATTCATTGACAAAAGGCATATTTTCTTCTGTTTTTAAATTAGCATCTCCATCTGGGAGTTGTTAAAATGGAGACTTTGGTTTCCTTAGGGTCTAAAAATAGGTTTGGGTCAGTGGGTGGGGTGGAAGCAGCCTCCTTGTCACCTACAAGGCTCTGAGTGATCTGGCTCTGCCCCTCTGAAGTCACCATCTGTCACTGTCTCCCTCACCTGCTCTGTGCCCACTGTACCAGCTGCTCTCTGTCTTTTGAAAATGCTGAGCTCATTTCCACTTCAGACTCTGAGTTTATTGCCTGGGATGCTTTCACTCTAGACACTGGCATTCAGCTCTTGGCCAAGATGTCTCCACAGACAGACCAGTTTACCAGACCACTTCCTGCACTCTCCCAACCCAATCTATCCATTGTGTGACCATGGATGCTATCCTATGGCATTTATCACTATGGGATGTGCTTTGTTTATTCCCTTGGTGGTGTTTTGTCCCTCAACACTAGAGTCAATGCTCCATGAGGTGGGCATCTTGTCTGTCTTGTCCATCACTCTGTAATTAGCATCCAGAAAAAATACTTGGTACTCATAAATAGGAATTTGTTGAATAAATGCATTATTTCCCTGAAATAGTATGTTTAGGTGTATATGTACACATGTCCATTCTTTTCTGCTAAAAGTCCTAGGTTTTATCATATTTGTAAAGAGGCCTATTCCCTCCAAATTAATGTCACTGACTAAATTATTAAGGTAGAGATTCAGGAGTCTTGCCACCAAAACATGGTCCTCAGACCAATAACTTCGGCATCACTTTATAAATTCTCTCATGCTCCATACCTGCTAAATCTGAATCTACACTGTTATAAGATATGCAATGGGTTTGTATGAACATTAAAGTTTGAGAAGTATTGCTCAATGGCAAATCAAATAAAACAAAAGTTTTGGGCCAGAGATTCATATTCTTTATTAGGTCTTTGCTGGATACATTTTCTAAGACAATGCTTATTAAATTCCCAAACAGTAAATACTTTAAGCCTTAAAGTTGGAAATAGAGATGTGAGCTTCTCACAAACTTCCATTTTTACACTATTTATTAATAGACTGTCTTTGAAAAACACAACTGGAAATAATGATCTGATCATTATAACATAGTTTGTAAGGTAGAAACTGCTTTGTTGTTTCTTTCTTAACCTTGACTCACACTGGAATCACCCAGAAATTTAAAAATATTAAATACTGATGACTGGGTTTTACCCCTAGAGTGGGATTTAACTGACATGGAGTATAGATTAGAAAATGTTTGAAAGTGTTTCCCAGATAATTCTAATATGAAGGCAAAGTTGAAAGTTAAATTCAAAGTTGAGAACCACTATATTCTATCAGCAATTTTCAGCTCTTTTCTTCTCATGGAACACATAAACTAATTACTAAAATTCTGCAGCACACCTATATATATATATATTTTTTGCCAATCTGACAAAAAATAGGTCACAATTTTGATTCATTCACACTAGACGGCTATTGGTGTGTTGGCTGTTTTTATTTATTTTTATTTATTTTTAGAGAAAGGGGAGGGAGAGGGAAACACAGGGAGAGAAACACTGTGTGAGAGATGCATTGATTGGTTGCCTCTTGCAGGCCTCCAATTGGGGTCCTGGCCCACAGCCCAGACATGTGCCCTGACTGGGAATGGAACCAGCAACATTTTGGTTTGCAGGCCAATGCTCAATTCACTGAACCATACCAGCCAGGGCCATTTTTTTAAAATTTGACAGTCTAAGCAAAGAGAGGTCAATGCCTCTGACTAGTCAGGAGTTGCAAGTTTAAAAAGTCCTATGACAAACCAGTGTACCAGGGTATACAGGGTTAAAATCACTGTTTTAGATGGATACCAACATCCACTCCCTCCATGCACTCCCATCCCACAGATGGGTAAGGAAAGTCTGAAGAGCCTAGTCTGATCAAGTCTCCTTGAAAGTGTAGTTAGCTCTTTTTTCCTTCCCCTTCCTCCCTCTTAAAGCCTTGCTTTCTAAAGTTGGAATACATACAGGGAGATTTGAGCAAGCAAGTAAGTAGTAAATGCATCAAGGTTAATGGGACTGGCGAAGTTGCAAATGAGGAAGGCCAGAATAAAAGTGTTGTTAAGGATAATTAGGAAGATGGTGGCGGAGTGGGACAAAGAGGATACTGCTTCCTCCTACACATGGAAGAAAAACCTGGCCGATCCATGGAAAAACACAGCAAATAGACAACAGTGCCCCAGCATATAGGAAAATAGGAGCCCAGAAATTGTAGCGAAAACTGAAAGACCAGACTGTGAGGAGACAGCTGCGGGTCAATAAGGTTCAAGGGACCAGTGCCTGGAACAGGACTGCCGTGGACTCTTTGGGAGCAAAGGGCTGGCAGCAAGGTCCTTGGAAGAGAGCAGGGTTATCAGCTCCCTTCCCACCCAGCCGGGCAGAGTTTGAAAAACACCGGGTGATACCTGTTTACTTAAAGTGTCAGAGAGAGGAATGGACAGGAGGAGGAAAACTCGGGGGCCTTGATCACCTGTGGAGTCTGTGGTAGCCGGCTTGGGAGAATTGAGAGTTGCGCTTGCGATCCCCCGTAGCACTGGGAAAGGTTCGAGCCCAAGCGTACGAAACCAGGGAAGCCTGGCTGAGTGCTTGCGTACCCACACCTCAGCCCACGGCGGTGACTCCTGGGAAAAGAGGGCTCTAAAGAGGACCTGGATTCCCTCAGTGGGGTGCTGAGGCGCTGGTCTGGACCTTGGGAGAGTGCTCCTGAGACCAGCTGAGTACACTGAGAAGGGAGAAAGGCCATACCAATTGCCCTCACCCTGCTGCAGCCAGTGAGACCAGAAAAACCAGTTTG